TATCCAAGAAGTCGTAGAGATAGGGTGTGAGGAACTTGTAAGTCAAATGGGCATTCTCTGCCAGGACATCTGCTGCCAGGTCAAAATACTCATATTTACATTTGTTATTTCTTTTTTTGCAGGGGGGAGGAGGTAATTAGGATTATTTAGTTTTTAATTTTTTTTTAAATGGAGGTGCTGAGGATTGAACCCAGAACCTCATGCATGCTAAAAATGCACTCTACCAGTTGAGCTACACCCTCCTCACTACTCACATTGACAAGCAGAGTAGCAACAGGTCATGAGCTGGTACACGACCCTGGTGAACTCCCCATAGGGTATCTGCATGCTGCCCAGCCGTGCCATAACCGCTGTGCCTGCTCGTTACCACAGCAACAAGCCAATTGGAAATAGAAACTGCAAAAAACATTTTTTTTTTCTGTAGGTGCTCCAGAAATTAGTTTGTAATGGAAGGAACAGCTAGGCCTGAAAACGAGTCCCTTACTTGACCAAGGACACTGTATGTTTTCTATACTTTTTAAGCCAATGGAAAATTTCCTCCAGTATACACATATAAACATATTTAATGATCCCTTCAGATTTTCCTCTAATAATGGGACCATCACCATCAATTAGATAAATGGTATGACCTTGGATAATACAGATTTAAAATAATATATAAATTCAAGACCATGCAGTAGAATGCACAATAGGCCAAATTCTCAGACAGACATGATAGAATTTCAGCAAAGGTATCTTGCTACAGAAGAATTATAATCAGCATACTTCATCTGGGTACCTATGTAGCTAAGTGTTTCCTTGAATGAAAAAAAAAATTATAGCAGGAATCCCTACTGTTCATTGAGAGCCATTAAGTTGACCCATAGGAACTGCTGCTTTTATTGGCTGAAAATCAGCAATTTCATGATTTAACGTAATGCTTTTGACTTTTTCTAAACCAGGTCAAGTGGGCATGACAATTACTTTTATAAAAAGCAAAGGTGTAAGGAGTATGGGAAACAAATAGTAAAGTTCTTGTAGCTTATAGAAAATTAAATGTGCAGAATGAGTGGGGTTCATAGTGAGAACCCCAAAACACTATAGAGGCTTTTAACTTTGAAATTGGCATTATTAATCTACCAGATAAGGTTTCAGAATCCATTGACACTATTCCATGGTGTCAATAGGAGTTTCATGGGGTCATTAGAGTAGTGTAGAATATTTTCCTTTTCCAAGAGCTCCAACATAAAGTCCAGCATTAATGTGTTCCAAGTAGAAACAAGAATTAGATTGGAGTTCTAAGGCTACCTGTTATTAATCACTGTTAAAGATCAATTATGAAAAGAATAAAATTGTATCTTTTTAATGCTCATATATTCAAATTATTAACAAATGGACAAAAGAAAACCCTGGAAATTTGTCACTGTTTATTGTCTCCACACCATAGCACCGTAATTTTGTCATGGCACAAGATTTCCTACTGAATTTTGCAGATTTAAAAAAAAATTAGAACATATCGAATTTTTGTTAAAGTATTACAATTGTATCAGAAAACTCTGCCAGGATATACTAAAGTCTATGCAAAATGAATGCATTACAAATAAATGTTACTTAAGGGTAAATTGTTGGAGTAAAACATGCAATGCTTGACATTATTATTAATGTTCAGATGACCTATACATTAAGTGAGCTCTGGACTTGATAGTGCCTGGTCCCCAGATGATGTAATCTTGTCACATAGGGTTTTCTCAGGATATAGCAAGCACAAAAGATACAAAGGCGAGGGGATGTAGACATTACAAATACTATTAGACACACTTCCCCATTCATTGTTGAATTTTCTATAAATCCTTCTAGGATTCAAGATCTTTTTAAATTTCCTTTGTGAGGTATCCTAAAAGATACATCTAAATTATTTTAATTAAAATTTTAAAGTGTACAGATTTCAACATGTACCAAATGTGAAGATGCTAAAAGACAAACATAAAACAGAGTAGCAAATATAATTAACAGAGCCATTTTGATAAACACCATTATTAGATATTACTACATATTCCATCCTATAATCTCATAAATCAAAGCTTTTAATTGTCTGGATTCATATGTGACTGTATTCTTTCCAATATGCATTCTTTCTTCTTCCAGGGGTTGTTCAATAACGGCAGGTATGTTCCTACCATAAAGTTCACAGTGCTCTAGAAACTGGACACATTCTTGAACAACACT